GAAAATGGCTACCGAATGCTATTTTCGTGTGAAAATTCTCGATTTTATCATTCATATTATATTTAACTTTATAATGCTATAACTTATTGAGAAGTTTATGGATCCACACAATTTTTTTATGAGAAATAATATTTTTTAATAAACCCTTTTTCATTCGACATACTTTATCTTAATCGAGATATTAAGAAGGAACCAGCAGATCAAGTAGCTTTTGGAATAAAACACCAATTTTTTTAAAATTAAACACTATCTAAAGATTTGCATCGAAGCGTTTATTTTTGATAGTGATTTTAATCACTGTCAGATATCATTNTGATAGTGATTTTAATCACTGTCAGATACCATTATACTTGATCCAACTATACCACGTCACAACTGTGCCGCGACCGCCCAGTGCTGGGGTTTTTTTTAATTGTTTTAATGTACAAAATTTAATTTCTCTTTAAAATCCTTCTGTGGTCCGACAATACATTATCTCGCCTGGTAGGCTGGCGACCCTTTTCTTGTTAATTTTTCAATGCGCCATGAGAGTTACAAATTTTTCATTGCGGCCAATTAATTCAATTTTTTTTATATTTGTAAACTTTCATACTATAACAGAAACAAGTTGAGAAAAAAAACCCAGCACAGTGGTGACGTGGCATAGTTGGGTCAAGTATAATGGTATCTAACAGTGATTAAAATCACTATCACACCCAGAGAAAAACCTCGATCTATATAATAAATTCATTGTTCAATTTGATAAATATATCATTACTATTGAATCAATGATATATTTATCAATATGATAGTTTTTTTNGATATATATATGATATATACTATTGAAACTATGATATATTTATCAATATGATAGTTTTTTTTCTTGTCTTGAACAATAATTATTTATAAGAATAATTATTTTGTTCGTATTAATAAAACATTATCATAAACCCTTGATAAAATTTCTCTATCAAAATTGATTGAGGTTTTTCTTTGGGTGCATAAAAGACGCTTCGATGCATATCTGCAGATAGTGTTTAATTTTAAAAAATGATGGATTATTCCAAAAGATACATGATCTCCTATTTCGTTATTTATATACTGACTATAAGTTTTATGATTTATAACTGTAATATATAAATAAATAAAGATCTATATATATTTATAATATATAAAGGGAAATGGTGTTATTTAAAAAAAAGTATGTCTAATGAAAGAGAAATATAAAAATTATGTCTCATATAAAAATTGTATTGATCCATACACTTTTCAATAAGTTATAGCATTATAAAGTTAAAAATGTAAAAAATAAAATCGAACGAGGAAAATTTTTTCAATTTTTGAGGGTAATGTCTTCGACTTGATACGATTTGTGATCTTTTGACATATCGTTGAAAGAAATCGGTTCGGTGAGAGCTGAGAAAAGGTGGTATCAGACACAAAAAAAAAAAACACAAAGTAAAATTAGTACATTGTCAGCTTCGCATCGAAGCTAAAATTAACAGTGATCAGTGTAGGTAGTAATCTACATATAAAAATATGAAATGACAAATATAGTAATAAAGTTTATAAAGTATTCAATAAATTAAAAATGTATCCATAACCATAGTAGGTTCTATTTCCAATTCACAAATTGTCTGCTGCATTTATACGACACAAATTATGTCAGTTTTCGAAAATAACTCAAATATACTTATCTTTAATAAGTATATAATTAGTACTATCTTAAAGTAATTCAGTAAACCAAAATTGATATATTGATACGACAAAATGTAATAATACAATCAATTTTGTTAAATTTGTAATTAATCATTAATTAACTGTCCATAAAATA